CTGCTGCTCCCTGCTCTGGTAACAGCATGCAGAGTGAGCGCAGAGCAGAGGAGGGAGAAAAAAAAAAGAAGCTGGGACCACGACTCTGCCTCTGGGTCTCATATGGTTGTACAACGGAGCTTCTGCTGTTATTAGCCGAAACGCTGGCTTCGGAGGGCGGAGTTAATGTCAACAGATTTTTGGAGGGCGTTACCAACAGAGCTCATTAACATAAAATCTCTTCTGTTCAGCTCTGCTGAACAGAAGTCAGAGCAGGCAGAACTAGAAAATGGGAAATTTTATTATCTGAGAATTATTTTGTGCATTAAATTGAATGAACATGGTCTGGTCAGCCCACAGACATACCATAAACATTTCTAGGACCCATAATTGGTCTCCTTTAAATATAAAGATATATTTTGTGTTATTGTCATTTAGATTTTGAGCTTTAATGGTTTAATTGAATCGTTATTTTTCCAGGATGAAATTTACAACAAACAGCTCAATTTTATGGTAAATGCACTGAACTTATAGCACTTTATCAAGTCCCTCCAGACCTCAAAGCTCTTTACACTTACACACATTCACCTGTTCACACTCACTGATGGTGGTAAGCTACACTGTAGCCACAGCAGCCATGGGGCACACTGAGGTGGGGCTGCCAGGCACCTGAGCCACCAGACCCTCTGACCACCATCAGCAAACAGGATACTATATTCTACAATAAACAGGAACTAGGTTCACAAGTTTAAATTTACTCTGGATTTCCTTTAATCCACACAGACTTGCGTATAAACATACGCCCCTGCTAATATTTGGTTATGTCTCTTTAACAAGAACATCACAGAAAAAAACAAAAGTAAACCATGAAAGAGTTGTAGCATTTTTTTAAACAATGTCTGTTTACACCACCATCAGTTTTACATTACACAATTCTAGAAGAGATGTTTTAAAACCCCTGCTGAAAGGAACCCTGGATTTTAATGCTTCTATTTTCACTTGTAAATAAACACAAATATCTATGTAAATAACTATTAGAAAACACTTTATTGTTGCACACTTGTGTACGACAGAACTGTAGGTACCTCACAAAAAAGCAAAAATAACTGAGCATGAAAAGCAATTCATCCAAATGTATATGATAATACAAAAAATGTACAGTTAATTAGCAAATAAAACATCAAATTGACACTTTGCATTTTTAACTACACCCTTAGTTTTCTTCCTTTAGCCTGGACAGGTTTTAGAATAAGAAATATAAATTATAAAGTGAGTTCAGTTGTTTCTTGTGGAAATACATACATACATACATACATACATACATACATACATACATACATACATACATACATACATACATACATACATACATACATACATACATACANCATACATACATACATACATACATACATACATACATACATACATACATACATACATACATACATACATACATACATACATACATACATACATACTAGGGGTGCAACGATACAAAAAATTCACGATTTGGTTCGATACTTTAGTCTCACGGTTCGATATTTTTTCGATACAAAAAAGAGAAATGTCCACGCCCCTTTTAACTCGTAATTTATTTAAATTAATTATGAACATTTGTTTAACCTCAAAAATCCAGGTTTTTAAATTAAATGTTGCTGAAACAGCAAGTTTCTCAGTGGATCTGTGCTCAAAAATGCAGCCTAGGTGGAGTAGTCGAACACAGATCCACTGATCCTTCAACACAGCATCTTCAGAAGACAAGATGATAAAGTAAATTTTAAAAATCTGTATTGTTTCATACAAGTGTGTATTGAACCTAAAGCACTGTTTGATACGGGTACATGTATTGTTGCACCCCTAATATTTACCTACAAAAAAAAGATAAACATCTTACTTAACTCCTGACAGAGAAACATAAAAGTGATGCTCGAACAAAAAGGATAAATTTTTTTTACCTCCTTCAATTAGTACTCACTGTAACGTGTGAGGGCTGAAAACCTGCCCAGTGAGAACCACAGAGTCAAGTAACTTTGGAGCACGGGAACTCGTCTCCATTTATTCAAAGAACTCTCCTCTCTTCTCTCCATACAGGGGAGGAAAAACAAAACAATTATCTATCAGGGTCAACATGGCTACAATAAGAGTGCCGCCATTTTTTTCCCAAAATCAAAGGACACAATATAAAACTCTCTCGCAAGCAGCTATAAAACCCAGTGCTGAGCTTCCAGGACCGGTTTCACCTGATCAGATCTGTTCCTTTTATTGCCTGGAACAGATCCATCAGGTGGGTTTCTGAATTTTATGCATTTTTGCAGAAATATCGCCCACCAGGGGTTTCTGGCTGAATCCAGGTGGGAGAGCAGGTTCTGGACGTAGGATCATGGTTCCACCTCACTGGATCTCTTCCTTTTATCCCCCTGCATCAGCACAAGCAGCCCCGTGCTGGAAATCAGCCGTTTCACCCGCCGGAGCTCGCCCGGCGACATTTGATCGCTTATATCTCTGCGTGGGAACGTCCCAGGAACTTGCACCCCCCTCCGGGTTGTAGCGAAGATCCAGAACATTAAAATGAGCTATATCTCACCCGGATCTGATGCTCAGAGCTGTGCTAGAGGCTCCGGAGTAAATTGAGTACTATATCGCCCACCAAAGCGCCTTTTTCGGCCGGTCATTGGTTAATAGCTCCGCAGGGGAAGGTCCCAAGAACCACCTGCAGTTTGTAGAGGAGGACTGCAGCTTTCCAAAATCATCTCACTTTGCTGGATCCGATGCTCAGAGCCCGCAGGAGAAGCAAACAAAGGTTGGAATTTCCTCCAAAAAATGTGCGTAAAATGCACTAAGTCGTGCATAATTTGCGTATAGCTCCGCGGGGCAACGTCACAGAGACTCCATTCAAGTATCAGCTTGTAGGGGAGAACCAGGGCTTTAAATCCTGACCAGCCACTCCGGGATCCGATGCTCCTAGCCCGGGGAGGGGGGCTAAAACCACCCCCGGCGGAGGTCCGACGGTGCGTAATTTTGGAGGTTTTCCGCTTATTGCTCTGCGGGGGAATGTCGCAGGGACTTCTTTCAACTTTCACCTTGTAGGGGAGAGCCAGAGCTTTCAAACAAGACAGCCACTCAGGGATGCGACGCTCAAAGCCGGCGCTAGAGGCTCCGCAGCAAGATTGTGCTGTGCGGGCACCTGGACTGGTTGGGCACCCCTGGCGTAAACATTCCTCTTCTTTGTCAAAACTTTAGCAGTGTGTTTAGCAGGGATGTCCCCATACAACTTTTGTCACTTCAGATACGATATCGGAACAATTTTTACATATTTATTCTTTTACTCATTTCATTTCTTAAAAATATAACAAAATTTATGTACAATAAAAAACATAAATCACAAATAAAATGAAAGGAAACAGAAAGTAAAAAAAATCTTATATCTGCACCTTTTTTCTCAAAAAATAAATTTTAACAATAATGATCTACAAACAAAACTAAACAAAAACTAAAAAACAACCTCAAATCCTTATTAAATACATCCTTAATTTTATAGTGTAGAATCTCAAAGCCCTGATCAAGTCAAACACTGAACAATAACAGTAGGTAAGAGAAAAACTGACCCATTTATTATTCAATGGGTTACATACATTTTTAACTTAAACCTAAGAATATTTTATAATTAAATAAAATGAATAAAAAGGACTGATTATATTGGAGATTTTAGATGCAGGTCGATATAATCAGATTGATTTTTGACTAATGTCAGATCAATATTAATGTTGATATTGGATTGGGACATAATGCTTAGGATGATTGTCCATATATCACTGCACAGTGAAGGATTTAAAAACATATGTCTACTTTAAAATGGTTCTAACTCCATCCTTTCCAAAGATGTTTACTTTAAAATGTGTGTGTGGTTTATTATTTTGTATTAAAATATAAAGACAGCAGATTTACGGAGTGATTCTGTTGTTTTTTCAGATCCACTCTTCACCTCCACAGCTGGTCTTTTCTGATGACGACCTGCTGCCTCTGCAATCACCACTACGACTGTTAGTGCACCACTGTTGGTGCAGTGTGAGTCCAGGATTGTATTACCCTTAAAGCTCAAGTTGTGCTACTTTCACTTTATGTTCCACATCTGCACCTTCCAGACATGTTGGCTCAAACATTCACAGTGCTTTAATGATCAGGCAGCACTGCGGTGTAAATAACGTTTACGTTAAAGTCGTAAGAAGCCCAGTATGTAACTGATCTTGTGTGCTTTATTTATTGTCTTGTGAGAATACTTTACTCATTTCTACAATGAGACGGTGACGGCCTTTATTCAGTTTGTGGACAGGAAGTGAACTCATCGAGCCCTGAAACCAAAACATGAAGCCTGAAATCTGAATTTCTCCACCGGAGAAGGAAAAAACGAACCTGATTCAAACACTACTCTAAACTTTAAATAGATTTTTTTTCTTTCTTTAGCATCGTTGTAGTCTTTTCGTTTGCACTCCTCACACAGCTCAGAGTGTGACGCTGCCTTTCACAGAGAGGTTCTCCTGTGTGACATTAGTGACCGTGCCTTTCTGTTCGTGACCATTTGAATCTGTTGAAGGAGGCAGAACCCTGAGAGAACCACACACGGGTGTACAAACTTTAACAAACACAGCCATAAGATGTGCTGCTTTACGCCTCACCTGTAGAACACAAATGTTTGGACAGATTTTTTGTTAAAATAAGGTCTTAGATAAAAAATTAAAGTGGTAATTTGACCATTTTGAAGTGGGCTTCTGTGTAAAGCTGCTTTTTTTCTAGAAATAGTTTATCCAGAAATATTATGTCACTGACATGTAAAAATAACAAACAGGAAACTAACAGTAGGGCTGAGTGTTCAGTCACTAAATACTGAGTGTTTGTAATCAGTGAGAAGAGCAGACACATTTTGTGCTGCAAGTTTTTTGAAAATTACGACTAATTGAAAACTCTATTCTAGCTTTTGCACCCGCCTCCGCCTCCTCCAGATCTGTAATTTAATCTGTCAGAGTGCTCTTTTGAAATGAAGATGACTTGATTTGCAGATTAATAATTTATCATGGGCGTGATTTTTTTTCCCACCTGCACAGACGCGTTAGAAACGCCCTCAACTCTGATTGTTTTGAAAGAAAATTTGTTGCAGTTTATTTTTAAAACTCTAAACAAGACGACAAGCTTCTGCAGCAAGTTAAATGAAACCCCTGCAAGCTGCGTGGTGTTTTGGATTCCTCACTAAAGCTGTGTTGCTAATTGCAGCTCAGATAGTTTCCTACGTTGCAGCAACAATCACTAGTTTTTCTTCCTGTGTGGAAACATGAGGGCAGCTTGCACACAGTGTGGCTCCTCTTAAAGGCACAGTGTGTAGGATTTGTTGTTTTCAGCGACATCTAGTGGTTGAGTGGTTGAATCATCCTCCCTGGTCC